CACACACACACACACACACACACACACGGCGTAAGGCCCGCGTCTTCAAGAAGTGGAGAAGTGGATTATGATTATGCAGGGCAGCCGGCCAACACCAGAACCATGTAGCACAAGTATACACGCCAACTCCTGTCTTACGCCAACAACACGGCCAGTTAACAAACCGAACTAAGGGGTGATTTTCTCAGAAATGTCACCGCCGACAAGGGGCTACTACGGGACTTAACCAAATATGAAGTGCATAGCGGCCAACGGTACATTTAGTTGTAAAAAGAAAAAAGTATGTATTAATACGGGGTGGGGGTGGGGGTGTTCGAAATGTTGGCAGTAGCTAAGGAAGTGCTACTTTGTAACCGTCAGAAATGTCACTGATGAGTGGGGATTTGGAGAGCGAGGGGGAGGTGCTAGGCTACTACGGTACTTGAAGTGATAAGTGCTATTTTGTAACCGCTGCTGAGGTAGAGGGCTGGGTTCATTCTTAGAGAGCGAGAGAGACAGACAGGCAGGCAGGCAGACACACAGACAGATAGGCCAGAAGGCACTCAGACAGACATGCAGAAAGACACATAGACATACAGACTAGAAGGCACACAGACATGCAGAAAGACACACTGACAGATAGCCAAGAAGGCACACAGACAGATGACAGGCAGAAAGATACACAGGCAGATAAGCAAGAAGGCACACAGGCAGACGACAGGCAAGAAGACACACAGACAGACGACAGGCAGGAAGACATACATACTGAGAGAGGAGATTATAGGTATGGAATGGTAATCGGATACATTATTTTGCAAATGTGGGGCGAAACGGGTAAAATTGTGACTGAAGAAAGTGGACCGAAAACGGATAGTGAAGTGAAGATTTGGGACGAAAACTGATAGTGAAACGAAAGCGAAGATGTGGGACGATTACGGGTAGTGAAACGAAAGCGAAGATGTGGGACGATTACGGGTAGTGAAACGAAAGTGAAGATGTGGGACGGAAACAGGTGCACCGTCCGTGAAAATGTCCCCGTGCCGCTGTTATAGCGTGTCTGGGGCTGCAGGTCTCTGCGCAAGCCGCTCAAAGTATCCAGTAGATCCACCCATTCCTCCAACAGGTTCCTGTCTCATAACACTCCTTGCCTGTCAACTTTTGAGGTGCATTTTCTTTCTTTCTTCTTTTGTTCTTCGTCTTTTTCTTCCCCCTTCCTCCCTTTCCCGCCCTATAACCCTCCTCCCCCGCCGCTCATTGTCTCCCTCTCATTCTCTCTCTCT